TTTCGCTCCAACAACTAACGAATACATACTATATTGAATTTCATTTAAGCTGGTTGCCAGATATCTGGTTTTTTTGCTTATATATATTTTTTTTTTTTTTTTTCAATGTTAGTCATTATTGAAAACATTTCTTTTTTTGCATATTATTTGCATGCAATTATTGTAAATATTATTTTTTTTATTCCTTTTTTATATGGTTTTATTTCACTTTATTTGCATACAAAAGATTGTTGTCTTAAGTGTTGAGCTGGATTTTGGTGTTTTTTTTTTTCGGTTTCACTTTCTTTTCCCCCATTTAAGTTTGGAACCAGTTTTCGCTCATTATATTTTTCATTACACAAATATTTTGTAAATTTATTATGATTTTTTAAGTTCTTGTATTTTTATACTCTACTCTATAGTAGGGGAAGGTATTATGTGTTTGTGTTGATGTTTGTAACACCCAAACATATTGATCATACAGCCACCTTAAGGAATGCTAATCGGTTCAGAATCACTTCTTGAGTCGATTCAATAATGTCCATCTGTCCATCCATCTATGTGTCCATGTAAGTATACCTGGTTCACGCACTACGAGCCTATTTAAAATGGTTGAAATCGGTCCATTATATCACCTAGTCCCAACAACCGAAGGGTCTTAAGCTCATAATTATGTTAAATTTTCTAGTATCTCAAAAAATCGGCACAACTCAGCTCTGTATAAGTGTAATTGTTATTGCTGATGTTTTTAATGATCGGACCTCTTTTGACCGCAGCCCCTGTACAAAGTCCCTTTCAGAAAATCACTTGAAGGTCAATAACTTACTTATAAACACTAGTACTACGATAATATTCTGTAAACGTTATGCCGTCTACTAGAGTTCTATAGTTGAAACAAAAAGTCGACTTTTTTACTTTTAAAAAGTCGACTCTTCGACTTTTAAAAAGTCGACTCTTCGACTTTTGTGTTTTATGAAATGTCGGCTTTCCAACTTTTGTGTTTTGTGAAAGGACGGATTTTCGAAAAATTTTTTAATATCTAACTTTTTCCAAATTTTTTTCGAGTTTTCCCATCTTTTTCCAACATTTTTAGACTTTTCATTTTTTCAACTTTTATTTGTTTAATCAATTCTTTGGCTTTTTTCCTACGAGATGACAAAGGGTCGACTTATTTCTGACAAAAAGTCGATTCTTCGATTATTTTAAAGTCGATTTATAAAATATTTTGGAATTAAGACAAAAAACAACTTAAATACTTTAATATTAAAAGTAATTTTATTTGTTTAATCGATTCTTCGACTTTTTTCCTACGAGATAGTTGACTTATCGACTTTGATAGGACAAAGAGTCGACTTATCGACTTTTTCTGACAAAAAGTCGATTCTTTGATTATCTTAAAGTCGATTTATAAAATATGTTGGAATTAAGACAAAAAACAACTTAAATACTTTAGTATTAAAAGTAATCCATATTTATAAAATATTACTCACTGGTGTAGGGTATCATATGGCCAACAAATTGAATACATTATTTAGTATATTAATAATTAATTAATTAATTTTTCTAAGGTTTAGACCGAGGATATAGTTAAGCAAAGTTACAACAATCATTCTAACATGTAATAATATTATTAGTTGTCCTAATCATATTATGTTTAACTTTACATACTTATAGTCATCTCTACCGCATTCCAATATTAACCAGAAATACTTTAAAGAAATCACATTTCAATCGTTGCAATATAAAATATAAAAAAAACATATTAAAATTATAATTATATTAAACATCAGCTGAAATAGGCTTACAAAATTACAACACAAATATAAACTTACATAAAGATGTAAATAACATTAAAGTAATTTAAAATAATTTAGTTAACAATTTATCTTTGCATTACAGATTTCTCTACAGAAAACAAAAACTTAATTTAAAAATCCTCTTACTAAAGATTTTTGTTTAAATCGTAAATATTAAAATGTTGAAATTTCATTTAATGACAATTTAATTAAACACGTATTTGTCTTAAGTCTTTCGTCTGCTAAATATGTAAGTTACGGGTAAGTACGACAGCAGATGACTATTAAAATTTTAGTTTAATAGCAAACCTAAAATCATACAAAATAATTATCAGCCAAAAAAGTAAATATTACACAATATTTTCTTTTCTTTAAAGAAATAACAAAAAAAAAACTACTCACACTCAGACAAACTTAAACTAAAATATTTAAAACCGCAAATGTTTAAAACCTTTAGTAAGCGTATTAAGGTCACAACTCATATACTTTTAGGTGATGTTCCACTTAATACAATAACAACAATAACTTTTGTAAAAAAAAAATAAAAAAAATAAATAAAATGAGTAAAAATAAAAAAGCAAACAACAAGAGGAGAGTCACAGAGGCGCAGACACAAGTAACAACAAATTTTGAACTGATAAAAAAATGCAAATTTCACAAGTCGCCAAGTGTTACGAAAAATAAAGTTCAGTCTTAACAACAAAATAAAATTTAAACTGAATTTAAAATATTAATATATAAGAATATACGGGTGAATCGAAAATGATATTTTCTATAGTTATAATGATGGCAGTTGTGGAATATATCCTCAAAAGTTTCATTCTTCAAGCAACAGAATCTACGTAGATTTATAACGACATTTTCAAGAATTTACAAATATACTGATATACCAAAAAGGTTCTGGTTCAATAAATGGGTGTCGATTACTCCCATTTCAATCTGAACTTCTCCATTAAAGGTTTTAATTTTTCCGTTTTTTACCATAATTGAGACGTTATAGCAGCGTGACATCTGAGAGTCCTATCTGTTTCAAGCAAAAGATAATACATTTCAAAAAAGAATGTAGATATAACAGTTTTTGGGCTTTCAGATGAAATGACAAGTTTTACAAACCAAAATGTCTTCGCAAATAGGACCAAATTGGGTATATTTTAAGCTTAGAACTCAATATCTTACGGGGAAAATCTAGGGCCAGATTAGAAGTACTTTCAGCACTCTGGGTTAAAAATGTGTTGGCCTATGATATCTATTGCTTTATGGTTTCTACAAAAATCAGACTAAGATACTTCGAAAACTATAAACGGGTTCCTATAGCAATAATCTAAGAATGACCCAGAAAAATTTTCTAAAGGATAAAAAAAATTTATTCAAACTTCCACTCAAATGAAAAAGCAACTGGATCTAACAATTAGAGTCACAGCAGTAAAAGCCGGATTATTAATCAGTTCCGAAAAGGAATAGAAGTACTATTAAGGTAGAACATTATATGACCTCAATAGGACTTTTTGTCGACAACCAGTTGACACATCATTCATTCAACTCTTACACTTCATTTATTAGTCAGACAACGTACGAATGACATTACCCTAGTTTGGATCTTTGCTCATAGAGACTAATTTAAAAATTAACTGCTTTGGATATCTCCAACGCTGTTTCAGTAGCAAATTCATTGGGATTTATTAAAAGTTGTATCTTCAATTTTTTTCTTCAAAAGGCTGAAAATATGTAGATGAAATAATTTCGACATATGTAGAAGGACTAATGTGGGCTTTCTTCAAGCACTGGACAACATTTAATCCGAAATAGGCGGAATATATTGAGGTTACTGGCAGTAATTACGGGACACTGGGTTCTAGGAAAACTTTTGTCACAGCAAGAACAGGGATAAAGAGCATCAGTTTTCCACCTTCTCTGCGAATGCCCTGCATTAGCTATCGAAAGGAATCGATTCCTGAGCAAATACTTTATTTTCAACATTGGTGAATTACACAGACCGACATAATTTGGAAAAGTTGAAACTCTGAGACCAAGTTATACTTTTCGAATGAATGGTGTAGTGTAGAGTGTTAATACCATAAATATACCGAAAACCATTAGTTTTCATAATTTAGGTGAAGATATCTCGAAGATGAAAGAAGATATGTTAGATATTATTTTAAAGAATGAACCTTCACATGGCAAAAATAAAGTTGTCTTGGAGCTGTTATAACGTCTCCAAAAGAAACAAAATGGCGTTTTTTTCAAACTTCAGAACACGATATCTCGAATACCAGATGTGATGGGGGCCAGATTCGAATTCAGCGCAGCTCAATACGTTTGAAAAGTATACTTTGGGTTAAAAATTTGACGCTTTGCCAAATGAAGGCCAAATTTGGATTCAGCACAGCCCAATCTTTTTGAAAAGTATACTTTGGGTTAAAAATTTGTCGGCCTGTGTTATCTGACTTCAAACTCATCCTATTGAGATATTATACTTCTACAGGCTAGATTTATAATGCAGGATACATCTGACGAGTGGTATGGTCTTGTCAAAATGGAGTCCATCCGCATCTACTATTCACACCACGTTAATCAACCATCCCATTTTTAGTGTCTGTTATCGGACTGCTAAAATTTTTAAGGTCTTAGACATTTTCAATTCCAGAATTTTGAGTTGTCTATAGACTAGTCTAAATATAGAGTACCATATTGACTATTCCATGGGCTAGTTGACGAAGTACTTAGACTTAAATGGACTGGTATATCGATAAATAATGGCAAAAAGGGTGCAAAATGACATTTCCCAAAGTGTACAAAGTTTCAAACTTGAAAGTTTTGAAGACAAACTAGAGATAAAAGTACCTATGTATATGTACATATGTATGTATGTATATGAACAGTCAGGCGGAGCAAAGATGGAGATAAAATACTACCTTACTAAGCTAATAAACTGTTTGCTAACCCGCTAGAATGACTGAGAATAATATGTGAAATGTATTTTGAACTTTCAAATCAGATTTCAAACACAATCTCAAAATGAAAAACAATGTAATTAGACCTAAAAGGTCTACTGGGGCTTCCGAAAATAAAGAAATTATTTACTGTACATTTTTAGATCTATTAACTAACATATTTATGGTTTAATCACTTTAACTTAATACAATTATTAGCCCTTAAGCTAAATTTGCTCAAAATTTTAATAATTACTTAACTTTCAAATAATCAATTAGTTGAATAATAACTTACCAAAACATATAAAAAACGGCGTTAAACGCATTATGAATGATGCTGTTTTTTAACTAATCGTACCAATCTCTTGTAATTCGCAAAATATTTTTGAATTTTTAACTGGGCCTTTTGTAATGGAGCGATTAAAATAGTATTTGTAAATTGAACGGAAGTGAAAAAAGAAACAAAAACATAAGATGAAAATAACACACACACAATTAAATAAATTGATTTAAATTGAATTTTTTTTAAACAGCTTGGAAATTGATTTTTTTAATTTTAAATTGAATTTTTGTTCGATTTTGTATTGTTTCTGTTTTGTTTTTTATTAGCGGATTTAGTTATTTAACCAAAAGTAAACTAAAGAAAGACGTAAAACCAACAACTTTGGCTAACAGCAAGTTTAAATGTTGGTTATTATTGTTGTTGTTGCTTTTCTTTTGTTGTCGTTGGTTATTGTTGTTGTTTTAATTCATTGGTTGAAATGAAAATGAAAGTGTTAAATTAACTTTTTTTAAATCTTTCTGTGTTGTTTTTTTTAATTTTTTTAATGTACGAAAAGTGTATATTTTGCAGTTAAATTTTTATAATTTAATAATACAATTTTCTGCAATTGCGTTTTATTTAATTTAGTTATATTTATGGTATTTTTATTAACACTTATTGTGGATCAGGTTTTTCAGAAAATTTTATATAAATATTTAATGTAAATAACTAAATTTAACTTTCGTAATATTAATAAAAAAATATATTTTTTGCTTAAAAATTTAACACTTAAAAAATATTGTGACAATAATTTGTTTAATTTTGTTCAGATTTCACTTTTTTCTTAATAAAATTCCATTTTATTTCTTTGTTTAATATTAAAAACTATAATAATATTTTTTACTTTACTTTTTTATAATTTTATTTTATATATTTACAATTTATTTAAGTAATTGTTTGAATTTATTTAAAATTTGTTTTCTACTTTAACAATCCGCTATTCCTTCCGTAATCGTGCCTTGCACGTCTTCGACTGTTTCATGTAAAACAATTTAGTTTTGGCATCAGCTGCGTTGTTTTTTTTTTCGAACCAAAATGCTTTTTTTGTATGTTTCGACTCAAACTCAATCTTCAAAATGAAATTACACAAAAAACTAAAGAAAAATACATATTTTGAATAACTTGTAGTTTGTAGCTTTTTTCATTTTGTCTGAGTCTTTCTGCAGTTAAAAATATTCAAAGAGCTCCACCATCGCCGAAACACACTACACTACATCATATCAGAGCATAACGCTGCACAGCACACTACACTACGCCACGCATTTACTCTCAGTTTCATTTTTTAATTAAGTTTTTTTTTTGACGAAACTTTACATACGATCGTAATAAATATTGTCAGTAGGTTGGTTAGATGGATGGATGAATGAATGAAGTCTTTGAAGAGTGGCAAGCAGCAAATAACAATATTAACATTTTTGTTTCGTTATTATTTTTATTTTGCTGTTACGATCTTTTCATTTTTTTATTTTATTTAAAGCTTTTTATTGTCATATTTTTTGTGCATTTGTACATATTTTGTATTATTATGTCTTGTTTTTATTTTTATTATCTTTTTGTTTTTCGTACATTACAAACATTTCTTTTTTAAAATGATTCATGTATGTGTAATAATGCACTGTGGGTTGCTCGAGAGTAATAACTTTAGACATTTATTAACTTAGATGTTAAATTGCAAAATATGAAAAAAGTCGAGACCGCGAAACCAAGTTATACTTATAAAGGATTGAGCCGCGATGGCTCTAAATGTAACAGATTTCTCCATCACATCTGGGATTTGCGATATCATGAAGTCTGAAAAAACACAAATTTTTGCCATTTTGGAGACGTTTAAACTACCGTTAGTTAGTTAGTTAGTTAGTTAGTTAGTTAGTTTAGTTAGTTAGTTAGTTAGTTAGTTAGTTAGTTAGTTAGTTAGTTAGTTAGTTAGTTAGTTAGTTAGTTAGTTAGTTAGTTAGTTAGTTAGTTAGTTAGGTCGGTAGTTAGTTAGTTAGTTAGGTAGTTAGTTAGTTAGTTAGTTAGTTCGTTAGTTAGTTAGTTAGTTAGTTAGTTAGTTCGTTAGTTCGTTAGTTACGTTCGTTGTTATTTCGTTCGTTCGTTCGTTCGTTTAGTTCGTTCGTTCGTTTTTCGTTCGTTCGTTAGTTAGTTCGTTCGTTAGTGTTCGTTCGTTCGTTCGTTCGTTCGTTCGTTCGTTAGTTCGTTTTTTCGTTCGTTCGTTCGTTCGTTCGTTCGTTCGTTCGTTCGTTCGTTCTTGTTCGTTCGTTCTTTCGTTCGTTCGTTCGTTCGTTCGTTGTTCGTTCGTTCGTTCGTTCGTTCGTTGTTTCGTTCGTTCGTTCGTTCGTTCGTTCGTTCGTTCGTTCGTTCGTTCGTTCGTTTCTTTCGTTCGTTCGTTTCGTTCGTTCGTTCGTTCGTTCGTTCGTTCGTTCGTTCGTTCGTTCGTTCGTTCGTTCGTTCGTTCGTTCGTTCGTTCGTTCGTTCGTTCGTTCGTTCGTTCGTTCGTTCGTTCGTTCGTTCGTTGTTCGTTCGTTCGTTCGTTCGTTCGTTCGTTCGTTCGTTCGTTCGTTCGTTCGTTCGTTCGTTCGTTCGTTCGTTCTTGTTCGTTCTTTCGTTCGTTCGTTTTCGTTTCGTTCGTTCGTTCTTCGTTCGTTCGTTCGTTCGTTCGTTCGTTCGTTCGTTCGTTCGTTCGTTCGTTCGTTTTCGTTCGTTCTTCGTTCGTTCGTTCGTTCGTTCGTTCGTTCGTTCGTTCGTTCGTTCGTTCGTTCGTTCGTTCGTTCGTTCGTTCGTTCGTTCGTTTCGTTCGTTCGTTCGTTCTTTCGTTCGTTCGTTCGTTCGTTCGTTCGTTTTCGTTCGTTCGTTTCGTTCGTTCGTTCGTTCGTTCTTCGTTCGTTCGTTCGTTCGTTTCGTTCGTTCGTTCGTTCGTTCGTTCGTTCGTTCGTTCGTTCGTTTTCGTTCGTTCTTTTTTCGTTCGTTCGTTTTCGTTCGTTTCGTTCGTTCGTTCGTTCGTTCGTTCGTTCGTTCGTTTCGTTCGTTCGTTCGTTCTTTTGTTCGTTCGTTTTCGTTCGTTCGTTCGTTCGTTCGTTAGTTAGTTAGTTAGTTAGTTAGTCAGTTAGTTAGTTTGTTAGTTAGTAGTTAGTTAGTTAGTTAGTAGTTAGTTAGTTAGTTAGTTAGTTAGTTAGTTAGTTAGTTAGTTAGTTAGTTAGTTAGTTAGTTAGTTAGTTAGTTAGTTAGTTAGTTAGTTGGACGTCATTATAGCCAAATATAATTTAACAACTTCTAACACTTTCAAGCCCATTTGTCCATTGATAATTACCAGCAACTCTCTGTTTATTTCATTTAATATTTAAAGTGAGAGTAAAAATACAAATTTCAATAAAACTAAACTGAAGGAAAAAACCAAAGTAAAGCAGAAAAAAACTGCAATGCATTGTTTTGTTTTGTCACATTCTTCTTTGTTGTGTCTTGAGTTTGAGCTTCATTTGATTTTTTCAGTTTTTGCCAATTAACCATTATTAACTTATTATTATCACCAACTGACGATAGCGCGTTGGATTTTTTTTCAATTTCATATAAAAGCACAATAGACAATTGCTTCTTTAGCGTTTGGTTTCATTTTATGAGTTTCAATAAAATAAATACGACGACTACAATGTAATTTGGTTTTCGTGTTTAATTATGTTGGTCACACGCCACACATCTTTTTCGGTTTTTGATGACTATACATGGATATTCACGGTCGTCAATGACGTATTTTTTATACATAAGTTTATGTTAAGTTGGTGTTTTAAACCTACATAATTAGTTATTTCTCTAAATTTCATAAATGTGAATACTGAATATGAGTTCAATATAATTCTCATTGAATATTTCAACATATTTCGATGAAGTTCGTTTCTTAAGTCTTTTGTTTTTTTTTAATAATCTTTCTTTTTGTACTTGCATTAATAAGTAAAACTCAATGAAAATAATTATTTATTAAATTGTTAAATAAATTCAATACTTTTTATAGTTTGTTTAGTACTCTACAATCATTTGTCAATCATGTTCGATACCAGATCATTATAAGAAATTTCCCTTTACAATTCATGCTAACAGCCATATTCATCTTATGATCTACATTTATTTTGTAACTATAACTGTTTTGAATATTAATGTCAGGGCTGGCAAATAGAATTTGCAAATTGTACAAATCTACATTAAAAATTATACTTTTTGATTCCAATTGTACCATATACAATTCAAAATCAACAGTTCATTTGTATTAGCCCATAGATTAGTCTAGTCTAATAGTTTATTTGGTCCCCAGATTTGTCAATGGACTAGACAGTCTATTTCTTTCATATAGACTAGCCAATAGAGTTCTCTGTAAACTAGACAATAGACTAATCTACAGACTAGACAATAGATTATTCTTGAACTAGTCAATAGACTACTCTATAGACTAGACTATAGTCTATAGGTTAGATATTAGAGTAGTGTATTGACTAGTTTATAGAATAGAATGTATATTAGTCCAATGATATATTCATAGAGTAGGCTATAAACTAGATAATAGAATAATATATAGACTAAACTCTAAAGACTAGATAATAGATAGGATAGTCGATAATTAATCCAAAGACTAGTCCCTAGACTAATTAATAGTAATTATACTATTTGCATTCGTTTCGCATTTGCATTCGCAAAAAATAAAATTAATTCTTTGCTTTCATATTTTCATTCTCAAAACTGACATTCGCAACATACCTATTTTATAGACTACATCATAGAAAAGTCATTAGATTAGTCCAAAGTCTATTAAGAAGCACTTTAAACGTCCATTCAAAATAAGACTTTTTTTTAAATTTTCGCTTTCGCATAAAAAAGAAATCCTAGATAAGTACTCTCGTTGTTAAAAGTTATTACTGCTCGCCTGGCTGTAATCTCTTCCATGTTTCTTAACAATTTGAAAGAATACAAATAATAATTGTATATTTGCTCTTCTGAAGTTTAGTAGATAATTTTACCGAAGTGGGTAGCCTTTGAACTTTGTGTCAAAAGTACCATTTCAGGTTATTATTTCAATAAGGAATTAAAATTGTACAAAACTGGTAATTGGTGTACCATTGCACTTTTGAGGATTGAATAGTAAAATAAGTACAATTGTACCAATTTTTCCAACCCTGATTATTGTATTTGTTTGTAATTTTTACTAAAATATGGTTCGAAAATGTCTTTTAAACGACCAGTATTTCGACTCAAAAATGACTCAAAATAAATACTAAAATGAGTCGGAAATGATTAGAAGTAGCGCTTATAAACGACTCTTTTAGAGGAGTCGCGAATAGGGTACCATTTTATCCCGACAAATGTATTATTTATGATCAGAAGATTAGCTCATATTTGGTCATTTTAATCATGAAGAAGAGTCATACATGACTCGAATATGATGAAAATTTTCCAAAAATTCTAGCTGGGTTATAATATTTTAAACAATATCTAATTTGATTCATTTGGGTTTTTGACTGGATTCCCACGAATTACTAACACTATTTGTTGTTATAAATTTTCCATTAAAAACAATCCTTCAATATAAACTACATTGAACTAAAATAATAATCGAAAAATCTATAATCGTATTATAAAAACTAAAAATCATTTTTAAAGAAACCCAAATAAATTGTAGCTTGTAATGTGATTTTAACACACTTTGCGCAACGTAACGCACTTCAAAATCTTTACACTTGAGACTGTTCAGCTGTCTAAAATGAAAAAATAAATAATTAATTAAAAACCCAACAACTTCATGATTCATAGTAGTTTCCCAAAAACAAAACAAAAACTACACTGATGGCCTACATAAATTGTTAATAAAACCACATATTGGCGAAAACGAAAACAATAATACAACAACAGCAACAAAACAAATACTTTTTAGTAAAATACATTAAATTATTTATAAATATTTATTA